CTGGGCGGCGCAGGCGCGGAGGAGGCGCCGGGCGCTGTGAGGGGCTGCGGGCGGGTTTGGGTGAGTTTGCGGGTTTTTGTGTGTTTTTATGCGGTTTAGTGTGTTTTTTTGTGCTTTTTTGGTCTGTTTTTGTGTGTTTCTATGTATGTTTTCCCGGCTTTCAGCAGTGATGGGGGATATCGAAGGCGAAAAGGGCCGGTTTCCTACAGGTTGTTGTTTATCACCTTACCCGTGTTTTCTGTCTCTCCTCAGGAAAAAGTTTGGCCTCTCCTCGAGTCTTCGGCCAGATCCTGGAAAACAATTGAAATGGCGGCTGTAAAACCAGGGAAATTCTCTCTTTTTGTGCCTCCCACGGATCTGCTTGTGGAGTAATTTTCTCTGCGGTTTTGGGACCTGGAGTGGGGTAAAAATGCCTGAGATCAAAGTCACTCCCTTGGGTAAGTCCAGCCTAAAATCGCCTTGAAATACAAACACTGAAAATCTGATGGATTTGGAATTCAGGGTAATATTGGCCAGGCTGCTGGAGCAGTGCCCTGATTTGTCCTGTCAGCATCTCTCTGCCCTCCACTGGTTTTTCTGGTGACAGTTATAACTATTTGGATTAATTAATCAGGATTAATGAATTCGTTCTGGTAAAGGCACTGTGGTATTGTGATAGAACATAAATTCACCTACCAATATTTCTCGTTTTTCTGTGCTTAATCTTTTTTTTTATGGATTCTGAAGTGAGAGGCAGAAGATGTGCTGAGCAGAACTGCTTTATCCTCATGGATAATTTTCAGGCTTGTTGTGTGTTTAAATTAATGAAGCTTAATGAAGGCAGAGCTGGAAGTTGAGTTCTAATCCTTGCCAGATAAAGGATTTTTTCTCTTCCTCGAAACTGCAGTTGATCGAAGTTTGTGCAGACCTTTACCTATTTTTCTTTTGAAAGAATTGCAGCTTTTCCCAGAGGTTTTTACTGGTATTTTGCTGGTATTTTAGTGCTGTTTTGCTGGTGTTTTATTGGTGTTTTGCTGGTGTCCAGGTGCTGGGCAGGACGTGGGCAGGAGCTGCATCCTGGTGTCCATTGCTGGCAAGAACGTGATGTTGGACTGTGGGATGCATATGGGCTACAACGATGATGTGAGTGTCCCCTGGGCCAGCTCTAGCCATCCCCCCTTGTCCCACAGTGTCCCCTGGGCCAGCTCCAGCCATACCCCCCCTGTCCCGGATGTATTTTTGGGCTCCTCTGTCAGCCACTGCTGAAGCTGGACTATGGCAGAGTTGCTCTTTCCCCTTAAAAATCTCCCTTCCTGCCCAAAATGTCCCTTCAAGTATTCCATGAAATGCCACCATCTAGCCCTTCTTTCCCTAGCTCGTGGGCTTTGGAAAAATGTTTATTAATGCAGCTGCGTGGGTTTGGACCCTCTGTATTTCCTGTGAGCAGGAATCCTGCCCTTAGCTTTAGGGCACTTCATTCCACGTGGGATGCTCTCCTGATGCTCCAGGAAAAGAGAAGGACACTCCTGATTTTGGGTTCCCTGACACAGCAGGAAAGGAATAACGGCACAAATATTTTGTAGGATTTTGTTCAAGCAGTTAACGTGCTGTGACAGAAAAGCTTTGGGGCTTTGTGCCTCAGAAGCAGGATGTGTTCAGCACCTGTTTTACTTGGAAGATAGAATATATTCATGAAAGGCTCAGTTCTCTGTCTGCCCCTTCCTTTCTGCCTCTCCCTGCAAACAAAAGCTGCTGGTGCTGCCTGGAGAGGGCTCAGCACATTCCCAGAGTCCCAGGCCCTTCCCTCCATGTTTTTGTGGGATCAGTGATGCATTCTTGATGGATTGCCTGTTTTCCCATGGCTGCAGAGGCGCTTCCCTGACTTCTCCTACATCACCCAGAATGGAAGGCTGACTGATTTCCTGGACTGTGTCATCATTAGGTGAGGCACCTTCCTTGTCCCAGCTCTTTTAGTGCTGTTCCCTGCCATCCCAAACACTTCCCAAGCCCATCCGTCATATTTTTCATATTCATATTCTATCATATTCTTCATGCTTTTTCCATGTCCTGCAGAGCTTCAAAAGGTCTGGGAACCACCCAGGCTGAATCCTGTGTAACCATTGTGAGTTGTTTTTTTTTTAAATTTAATTTAATTTTTAAATTTTGCAGCCATTTCCACCTGGACCACTGTGGGGCTCTGCCCTATTTCAGTGAGATGGTTGGGTACGATGGCCCCATTTACATGACCCACCCCACCAAGGCCATCTGCCCCATCTTGCTGGAGGACTACAGGAAAATCACTGTGGATAAGAAAGGGGAAACCAACTTCTTCACCTCCCAGATGATCAAAGACTGCATGAAGAAGGTGGTGGCTGTGCACCTCCACCAGACAGTGCAGGTGAAGGGGCTTTGCTGGTGTTGCAGGAGGCAAAAAACCCCCAATTTTAATTGAAAATATTGGCATTAATGAAGGGTTTTGCTGTTGGGGTAGGTGGATGAGGAGCTGGAGATCAAGGCCTACTATGCAGGCCACGTGCTGGGAGCTGCCATGTTCCAGATCAAGGTTGGCTGTGAGTCCGTGGTGTATACTGTGAGTATGCCCAGGTTTAGAATTATTTCTCTTTTTATCTAGAAATATTCCCAGATATTTATAGATCCCTCCATTGGCTCAAAAATACCACTGGGTTTCTCTTCTTCCCTCAGGGTGATTATAACATGACACCAGACAGACACCTGGGGTGAGTAAAAAGCTGAATTTCTGTGAGTTTTGAGGATTTCTGACTGGAGGATTTCAGCACAGCTTCTGTTAATAGTAGGAGCTTATCAACTTTAATTCTTTGGAATATTTAATGATATCTCTGCTGGAAATAGAGATTCAATTTTAAATTGTGAGAGTGGAGATATTTACATTAAACCTGCCAGATAGACCTTAATGTAATCTGAATATTCACATTCATTTGTTTTTAGGGCTGTAGTTGGATTTCAGTGTTTGAAATGTTTTTTCCTGGTGTTTTTATTTTCTAAGAGATTATTAATCACAAACTTCAACGCTTATGTGTTATAACATTATAAATCTGTCATATATGCATTTTCATTGGCATATATGAGAGATGTGTAACATCCCTGCTATTCAGATGAATATTTTAATGCATTTAAAACTAGATAAATGTTGCTTTTCAAGGTCTGTAATTTCAGTTTCGAGCTGGAATAATTAAAGCTGTCACAGAATTCCCAAGACACACTTTATTCCCATTTCCTGTGGACACAGTGACATTCCCCAAGCCAGCTTGGAGACCTTCAGATTAAAAATGCCAGAAACCATTTCCTAATGAGATTTTTGGTTGAAATTCCCTCTGTTCAGAGCTGCCTGGATTGATAAATGCCGCCCTGATCTGCTGATCAGTGAATCCACCTATGCCACCACCATCAGGGATTCCAAACGCTGCAGGGAAAGGGATTTCCTGAAGAAAGTCCATGAGACTGTGGAAAGAGGAGGGAAGGTACAGTGGCCTCTCCCACAGATTTGTTGCTCTCTACAAATCCTCAACAATACCAACAAATCCTGATTTCATATCCTTCAGGAGAGAAATTCCCCTCAGTGCAGGCAGAGCTGAGCCTGTGCCTTTCATTCCAAACTGCAAAACATTCCTGGGAATTGGAAGAATATCAAGAAGTGAGAGGGATTTGTTCAGAAGTAATAGCCACAGTGCATTTTATGCTGTTTGGCTTTCCCAGACTCTGAATTCCGTCTCTGTTCCAGGTTCTCATCCCAGTTTTCGCCCTTGGACGTGCCCAGGAGCTTTGTATTTTATTGGAAACTTTCTGGTGAGTGCAGCCTGGGCATGTCCCACCTGCTTTTTGGGATCTTCTGTGTCTGATGAATGTTGAAAGTGGCAGGAATTCGCCTGTAGTGAGAAGAAGGGCACTAAAACCTGCATGGGGGTGGTAGCATTGTTAAAATACTGATTTAGGGCTCATGAAAATAGGGAAATACACCCAAAAAAAACCAACCTTGGGATATTCCACAGCTTTTTGGATAGCCAGGATTTACTTTACCCCTCACAGGTCACTTCTTTTGCAGGGAAAGGATGAACTTGAAAGCTCCAATTTACTTTTCCACGGGCCTGACAGAGAAGGCAAATCATTATTACAAACTCTTCATCACCTGGACTAACCAGAAAATCCGGAAAACTTTTGTGCAGAGGAACATGTTTGAGTTCAAACACATCAAAGCCTTTGACAGAGCCTTTGCAGACAACCCAGGGCCTATGGTAGGTGGGTGCTGGTGAGGGACTGGGGGTCTGGCAGCTCTTTTATTCCAGTGTGATCCCAAATCCTGGTGGGAAAAGCATCCTAAGCATCCTCCACCCCATCAATCCCACATAAAAACCTCTGTGGCCAGGCCATCTCTGTAAATATTACATCTCTTTCTGGTTTTATTTCATTAAAGGTGAAACACCCAGAGAAAATGAAAATTCAAACCAGGATTTTCTTTTCCACACAATCTTTTATTGCTGCTTTAATTCTGGTTTGTTTGGTACCATTAAAAAACCACTCTGAGTTTTCCATCAGACACTGGGAATGCTCACAAATATTTCCTAAAACAGGGAATATTGTTTTTATTTTCTAAAACAGTGGGTCAGACCCTGGGAATTTTAGACAGAGTGGGAAGAAAATCAAACAGCAAAAATCCGTATTTGTGCAGTGTTGGTGATGGGTATTGATGGATACTCTGCACAGTTCTAAGATATTGCTATAAATCATGGAAAAAATGCTTTTCTATAGTGATTTATGGCACATCTTTAACTTCCAGGTGGTGTTTGCAACCCCTGGAATGCTCCATGCAGGACAGTCCCTCCAAATCTTCAGGAAATGGGCAGGGAATGAGAAGAATATGGTAAGAAATTGTTTTTTTTGGGGTAATGTTTTATGTTGATGTGAGTTAAAAGTACTGAGATTGTAGCAAAGCTTTTCCTGAGGAGCTGGAATTCAAGGACACAAGTCCTCTCTGAACCAGGACATTCAAGCTCTAAATTTGTGACTATTATGATGATCAAATCCATGGAATTGTTGATTTTTCTGTTCTTTTTTCCCAGGTGATCATGCCTGGCTACTGCGTCCAGGGAACTGTGGGCCACAAGATCCTCAGTGGGCAGAGGAAGCTGGAGATGGAAGGAAGACAAATGGTAAGTTGGGTTTTCAATTTCCAGCACTGAAAATACCTCAAAATAATCTTTGGATTTGGAGTTGCACTTGTTTTGTTTTTTTTCCCTTTCACTTTAGCGAAGTTGCATTTGGGTTTTTTTCCCTTTTTGCATTAATTTCTACCAAAAAACTTTGAGGAGCCCTTTGCTTCTACCGTAAAACTTTCAGGGGCACTTTATGCTGTTTAATAACGAGTCCTAATGAGGCAAATATGTAAAATTGATAAATGATAAATTTTTAAGCAGATTTGGGTAATAAAACACCAGCTGACCTTCAATATTTGCTTTGTTCATGTGACAAATATTGTCTGAAATGGGGCAGTTCGAGCCTTTAAGTTATGACAGCTTTTTGTTAAGAGAATTTAGGTTTTCTCCTTCATCCTCTTAAGTAAATTGAGAGTGTTCCAAAGGAATTTCCAACTTCTAAATCCTGTGCTCTGCTCCTCCCAGCTGGAAGTGAAGATGCAAGTGGAATACATGTCCTTCAGTGCCCATGCCGATGCCAAGGGCATCATGCAGCTGATCCGCCAGGCTGAGCCCAGGAATGTGCTCCTGGTGCACGGGGAAGCCAAGAAAATGGAGTTCCTGAAGCAGAAAATCGAGCAGGAATTCCGTAGGTATCCATGGGAGGGGAGAGAATGGCATCAGAGCTTGAAAATCACATTTTTCTTCCCTCAGCATGGTTAGGAGTGGCATTTACACCTCCCCTCAAAGAACAGATGCCTGTAACATCTTAATCAGCGTTAATTAAGCCCAGTTAATTGCAGTGACCCTCTTGGAACTGAAGTTTTGTTGCTGCTGTTTCCTTTGCAGATGTCAGCTGCTTCATGCCAGCCAATGGAGAGACCACCACCATCCTCACCAACCCCTGCATCCCTGTGGACATCTCCCTGGGCCTCCTCAAAAGGGAAACAGCCATAGGTGATACTTCCCACCCCCAATTTTCCTCCCTGCTGCTGCTTTTTGTAGTGCTGCTGTTGGTAGAAAGCTGTACATTTATATTTAATAACATTTAAAATCAATGTGCACACCCTGCCTGGTTTGCTACCCTTGAGTGCTTGTAGCAGCTTGGTTTGGGAAAGCTGGAATTACTTTTATAAACTGAATTTTAGAAAAATAATCTAATTCTTCCATCAGGAAGTGCTCTGGGAAAAGAGGGGGGTTGCTCTAAATATTATTGCTTAGGTGTCAGTATTTCTGATAATGGTTAAACACCATTGATGCATTGAACAGATAAGAGAAGAAAGGTGTAAAATTCCAATGTCTGAACCTCAGCAAGGTCTCAGAGCCCCAGCCTCAGTCCTAGAGCAGTTTTGGGTGAAAAACCAACACCTCATGTGTTTTTCTCCCCCTGGCTTCGCTTTAGGTCCTTTACCAGATGCCAAGAAGCCAAAGCTGATGCATGGCACGTTACTCATGAAGGACAACGTGAGTGAAAGAGTCCTTGTGCTTGACTTGTGTCCTCTTGGGGTGTTTTGTAACCTCTCAGGGTGTTTTCTGTCCTCTCAGGGTGGTTTTTTGTGCCCTTTCAGAGTGTTTTGTGCCCTCTGAGGGTGTTTTGTGCCCTCTGAGGGTGTTTTTCATGTCCTCTGTGTTTTGGTGCCCTCTGAGGCTGTTTTGTTTCCTCTAAGGGTGTTTTTTTGGTATCCTCTGAAGGTGGTGTCAAGTTTTTAGGTGCACAAGGAACCCAAATCACGATGAGCAGTTGTGTTTCCTCACAAAGAAGATGCCTCATTTTCAACCTCATCTTTATTTTCAAACATTACTCCCCTGCTAGAGGTTAAACCGTCTTCCAGAGACCAACTTGATCATGTTAAATATTTATTTATTATTATTTAGCTAGATGTTTTGTTCCAGCCTCGCTCTCCCTTTGCTGCCTGCCCTCAGCAGTGACAAACACGTGGCAATGTTTCAGCATGGAAAGGGAACAGTCTTTCCTGCTTCCCCTGACCACAGGGCAGCAACACAACTCCACAAAGCTCAGAGGACTGCTTCTCCATGGATTTATCCCTTTTTCCCCATAGAGTTTCCGGCTGGTTTCCCCTGAGCAGGCCTTGAAGGAGCTGGGGCTGGCAGAGCATCAGCTGCGCTTCACCTGCCGTGTCCACATCCAGGACCCACGCAAGGAGCACGAGACCGTGCTCAGGGTCTACAACCACCTCAAGGGGTGAGCTCTGCTTCCCTGGCAAGGGTTTTTAATCCCTCAGGATTGATGGAGTTGATTTTTTATCCCCCAGGATGGAGTTGATTGTTCCCAATCCAGGCAGCTCAGCTGTAGCACAGGCAGCTGGTCCTTTGAGCTGGCAACAGCAGAACCTTAAAAGTTGTTTCTCTCTCTGTGCATTTGCCACATTCTGAGTTCTTTGCTCATAGCAAGGCTCAGGTTGGAGCTGTAGAGCCTGGAATAAATTCTGCAGGAATCATTTCTGCAGGAAATCCTCCATGATTAATGGAAACACCAGAATGCATCAGTGTTTCATAAGTGCATCAGCCCCTTTTCCCTTCCTTGGGCTCAGACAGAGCCAAGAGAGGAGCAGGCTGGGATTTGGGATGAAGACCCAGGGGTGACCCAGCATTCCAAAGAAATGCCCTGTCTCCTCTCTCTGCAGGATCCTGAAGGATTACTCAGTGCAGCATCTCCCTGATGGCTCCATCACTGTGGAGTCCATCCTGATCCAGGCCACGGCGCACTCGGAGGATCAAGGAACCAAAGTACTGCTCGTGTCCTGGACTTACCAGGTGGGAATTCCTCATTTCTGACCTGAATTCCTTCTATCCCAAACCATTCCTGCACTGGGGAATCCTTCTTCCTCTGGCTTTGAAGGAGTTTGGAAAACGAGGGGAGTCCCTGCTGTTTATTGACCATCTGGGGTTGAGCAGAAATGGTTTAACAGGAGCTCTCTGGGCCCATTGAAACAGAGAACTTCTGGGGTAATTCCACTTCCAGTTCAGTTCTCTCTGTATTTTGAGCTCTGCTGAGTATTTCAGGTTGTATTTCTTACTTGGAAAATTTAAAGCAAGTAGACAACTCTTTCTGATCTTAACATTCTTTTATTTGACAGTCATCCCATCATCTTCTCTTTCTGTGGCTGGATTATTCAACTCTTTATTGACAGCAAGGAAATGCCTTTGGAAGGCAAAGCAATAAAATCAGTTTATTCCTTGACTTCAAGCAAAAATGGGGCTTTTCCTCAAAGGAAACCCCTCAGGTCCTTTGAGAAGTAGGAGTTTCACACCAATAGTTTGTTATTTGTGGATTGTTTCAATTTTTAAACACAGTTCACATTAGATCTTGCAAGGTCCAGGAATTCTCAGTCCATTTCTAGGTACCAAAATTGAATTTACTGCCCCAAATAGGACAATCACAGGAAGATTTTGCTCTCATCCTATTTTTTTTATCCCTTTTAGGATGAAGAGCTTGGCAGTTATCTCACATCCCTCCTGAAGAAAGGGCTGCCCCAGAGCACCCCCTGAGAGCAGAGCCCAGCCCAGGGTGGGTCACAGAGTCAGATTTTATTTTGTTTACACTGTCAATGCTTTTTTGTGCTTGGTTTTAATAAAAGAATTCCAGTGTTTGTCCAATTCCTGCAGTGACAGGCACCAGTACTGGGATTTTCCCCTTGGAAAAAAAATATCCAGGGAATCGAGAACCTGTTTTGAGACAGACCCAAGGAGCAATCTTTGACTTGTTTACACATTAAAGTAAAAGTTACTCAGTGTTCTCCCCTCCCACAGCTGATTTCCCTTAAAAACCCCTCAGTACTGCCTGAAACAATTAAAATTCAAAACATAAAAGCATCATAGAGCCTATAGAAAGTAAAAATCCCTAAATGTGCTGATTACCAAGCAGCAAAAGTTCTTTAATTCCCCATTTTTCCCTCTGGGCCAGCTGCAAGGAGCCTCCAATCCATTTTTTTACCTTTATCCATAATTGTGCTTGGCTGATAAAACCAATCCCTATCCAGTGCTGGGAGGATTTCCCACAGCCTAGAAATGGGATAAAAATAACAATTTCTGCTAAAGGTAAAGGATTATTTTGGGCTGATGCTCCCTCTGGGGCTCTCACAGTGCCAGGATTTCCCCCAAACCCTCCCAGGGAACACAGGGATTGTCATTTTCCAGAGTTTAGAAAAGTTGGAGCTGATTTTCTCACCAAGATTTTAAAATTGCTTTGAGCTAAGAGCAAAATAGAGGATGGGAGAGGCCAGAGGCCAACCTGGGCTTTTAACAGTAATTAGTAAGAGGTGTCCAATCAAGGACAAGCACCTGGGCACAGGGTGAATTTTAGGCTGAACTTGGAAATTCAGATCCTGATTTTTGTTGATCTGCTGCTCTCAGAGTGATGTTTGAAGGAGCAGAACTGAGCCTGTGCCTCTGTTATACCCAAACCCCACATCCTCTGGAATAAACTCGGTTCTAAGCAGGTTTTAAGCCAGGCCTGTGGTTTTCTGGTGCCTCAGAAATGCCCACAAATGAAAAAAATCTCTCCAGACTCTCACATTTCATAGGGGATGGAAACTCAGCAGTTCTCAGAAACCACGTGGGGGCTGTTAATACAAGAAAAGGGGGGAGGAAAGGTCAGAGAATTGTGTTTGTATCACCAAATGTCAGTGGAAAAAAGAAATTTGGACACTTAAGAACACACAGTGCAAAGAGCTGGGCTGAGTGTGTGGGGAGAGGAGCTTGTTTACCACTGACTGCTAAATCCTGGGATTTATCAAATATCTGCTCCCTTCTAAACCTCCATTCATCAGTGTCCAGCTTGAATCCACAGCCTGGAAATCCTGGAATATTCCCTGGGAAGCCAAGGCATGATGAGAAGCCCCTATTTGGCTGTGGAATGTGGGCAGCAGCCTGCGAGAGAGCAGGAAAACAGGGGAAAGCCCAGCAGGGCTGCCTGGATCCAGCAGTTTCCTGGGTTTCCTTCAAATCCCCCACTTCCTGGGATGTGCTGCTTCCCAGGAAACAGCCCCAGGTTCTACCAAACCCAAAATTCAACAGATTGAGCTCAAAACATCCCTGAACACAAACCCAGGAGTGCTCTGGAGGCCTATCCAAGGCTTTGGCTCCCCCAAGGATTGTCTGTTTTCTGATCAAAATCTCCATCTGCTTTAACAGCCACTACATGGGAAAAAATGGGTTTTCCAGGCTTGTTTTGAAGGAAATAATCAGAAATATCAGCTCTGTGTGTACCTGGAGTGGATCAGTTGGTTCCATCTGCCGTGGATTTTCCTTCCATGCCTCTGCCCAGACTTGCAGCCCCAGGAAGGGTCCCCAAAATTGTGATCACAGATGGTGAACACCCTCTTGGACCTGAGGCTGAGCCTGAAGGGGCAGTGCCAGGCTCTGCTGGAGGAGTGGAAGTGGTACAGGAGGGGGTTCAGGCAGCAGCTGCAGCTCGCCAGGGCCTCAGTCACCCTCTGGATCTCGGGGATCAGGCTGGGGAGCGGTTCCTCCTGGATCCCCCGCAGGAACTGCAGCAGCTGGGTGAGGTGCTGGGGCAGGAAGCAGAGGGCACAAATACCCAGCATGATGGAGATGGTGCCCAGGGCCTTCCTCCTGGCAGCTCTGCGCCGGCTCTGCCACATGCTCCTGGCCACCAGCGGCAGGCCCAGCAGGATGATGGAAAATGGGACAGCCACGCCAAAAATGAAAGCCGGGATGGTGTGAGGGGCTGTGGGGTGAGTCCAGCTCCCAGGGAAGTTCCCAAAGCAGCTCCTCACCCCTCTGCTGTGCAGCACGAGTGGGACAGTGGCAGCCAGGGCCACCACCCACAGGGCCGTGGCCACCAGCATGTAGTGGGTGGCCCTGAACTGGATGGAGGTGAAGGGGTGCAGCACTGCCAGCCACAGATCCAGGCCAAGGCAGCCGAAAAAGGCAACGCTGAGGGGCATGTGGAGGCAGAATAGAGCCTGGGTGACCCTGCAGGCCGTGTCCCCAAAGGTCCAGATGTCCCCGAGCAGCTGGGCGTGGATCTGGAGAGGCAGCACAGCGAGGAACAGAGTGTCCAGCAGGGCCAGGTGCAGCAGGAGGATGTAGGAGTGGGACAGGGGTTTCACTCTGCAGGACAGCAGGGACAGGGACAGGGCATTGCCCGCCAGCCCCAGCATCAGCACCACACTGTAGCTGACAGCAAACAGGGAGTGCTGCAAATCTGCCCCCAAAGCGCCTCCAGAGCTGGCTTTTGTCCCATTGGAAATTGGGAAACGTGTCCCATTGGAGACTCCCTCAGCCCAGGAAATCCCTGCCATGGTTCCTGCTGGAGAGCAGGAATGGTTCCCTCCAGGAATTATTCCCTTCACATGCGGTGAAGTCTTAACTCATCCCTCACTCCTGGTGTTTTATTTCATCCCTTGTGGGTGGGAGCTGAAGTTTCACCCCACAGTGATGCTCAGGTCTGTAGGTCAGAGCTTGGGGGGGTTTAGATGGGAAGCAGTGTCCCTAAAAAGGAAAAAAGAAACCGTTTCAACCACAAATATTTGAGTTTTCCCAGTGGACAGAGCCTTTAGTGGCATTAAAATCATCCCAAGGTGACAAGGCTGCAGCTCCAGAGGAGCTGATGGAAGGGGATGAGAGGAAATGTCCACATTGGGTGAATTTTCAACACCCTAAACCTTCTCTGTGGGGGGAAACCAACACTCACCTGCTCCAAAAGCAGCCTAAAGGACTGAATTTTGTATGTGAGATGGGGGAAAGAGGCACTGCATGAGCAGAACTCTCATCCAGGTCACTTGAACAGTGAACTACACCCCAACAGTGCAGCTCCCATCAAATAGAAGAGAAATCTGGGTAAATAAATCAAATTGTGGCACCTCAGCCCTGCAGACAGGGAGGAATTAAAGTCACCCACGATGTCCCCAAAGGGAGGCATTGAAAGCGCAGAAACAACAAAGGCTGGCGGTGCTTTCCAAAGGAAATGCTCAGTTCACACTTCCTCCCAAGAGCTGTTTATCTCAAGAAGTCAGAACTGCCCCAGATACATGAAATGTGAGAAAAGAACATAAGAGGCAAAAAAATTGATAAAAACATGAGGAAAGAGACAAAAACATGAAAAGAGATATGTGAAAAAGGCATGTGAAAAAACACAAAAAACATTATAAAAACATGAATAAGGACAAAACATGAGAAAAGAACATGCAAAAAGAGAAAAAAACATGCTAAAAACATGAGAAGTTACAAAAAACAAGAAAAACATGAGAAAAGAGAGATAAAAGCATGAGGAGAGAAAACCATGAAAACATGAGGAAAGAGGAAAAACTATACAAACATGAGAAAAAACAAAAAAAATGAGAAAACATGCAGAAAGAGAAAAAAACATGAGAAAAGAGACAAAAAATGATAAAAACATAAGAGACAAAAAACATGAGGTAAGAGACAAAAAAATGATAAAAGAACATGAGAAAAAAGAAAAAAAAAGTGGTTTCATTTTAAGCCCCCGACCACCTTTTTTTTTGGACATTATTTCATTTACAAGTATACATGAAAAACAAAATTCCCACTGGATTTGGAGTTCATTAAGTAATTATATTTTTTCATGTAAATCTGTGGCTGTGTCTCTGAACTTTGGTCACTTGTGGGGTTTTTTCCTGATTTTTTTTTCTGATTTTGAAGCATTATGTCACAGTCTCCCCATGGAGGGAGTGCTCAAATTGAAAAGGACCAATAATGCCACAATATAAACAGGAAAAGAATGGAGAAGGCCCCAGAAAATGAGTATTAATGAAGGACATCAAAATTGTTTGTACATGGAGTTTGTGCAGGAATTCTCTGCTGAGGGTACAGAGAGCATCTCCTTTCATTCATTGTCCTTCCATTATTTTTAACAGCTGCATTGGGATGTAAAAACAAAAAATAAACCCCCTCAATCGTTCCTTTTCCAGAGTTTTCCAGGTAATTTACTCCTTAACTCTAGCCTGGGCTGCTCAGTCGCTAAATTTGGGTTTTTATCGGACCAGAAGCTGAAAAACAAGTGCAAAAAACTCAATTACAGCTATTTCTGCACTGTGGTCGTTATAAAGGGGAGAGACCTGAGCCTGCAGCTTGTTGAAAACCCAAACAGGATTAAAATTTAGTACTTCTGTGCCCTGTAAAGACTAAAATAATAAACTGAGATAGAAATATGACTTACCAGAGCTCAGGTCTGAAGGGGGACGTTGAGGTCCCTGCTCAGCTGCTCTGGGGATCTGTCACTGCTGAGAAACCACAGGAAGCCACCAAGAGCTGGCACTGAGACGTCCCCAGAATCGAGGAGGAAGCCCCAGGGGGGCTTTGGTGCTCCCCCAGAAATCCCCGGCACGAGGGAGGCACAAAAATACCCCCCTGGTGCCCCTCTGGAACCACCCCTGACCCACTCCCTGCTGGGCCTGGAGCTCCCCTCAAAGGCAGGAGAGCCAGGGAATGCTGCCATTCCCATTTGCCAGGAAAATTCCAGGCTGGACACACAAATTAAGGTGTGGAACAGCTGGAAAATCCCAGCTTCCCATACTGATCCAGCAAGGCTGGAGCAGGGAGCACAAACAGGCCCCAAACAGCACCAAGAGACTAGAACTGCTCCGAATCTGTGCTGGGAATTATTCCCTGCTGGGAATTATTCCCTGCGGGATCGAAGAGCTCCAGGAGAGCAGGAGTCTCCTGTCCCCTCTCCTGCCCTGAGCAGGGAGGTGTGAGGGGGAATTGCTGCTGCAGTCAGCCCCACATTTGGGCCGAGTGTCCTCGGTCAGGGCCGCTCACTCAATCCCCATCCCAGATCCAGGGGGGCCCTCAGAGGGGTCAGGAATTGCTGCTGCTCCCTCCAGCACAAAAACTGGGAATTTCTGGGGCCTCAAGAGCTCTGAGCAACTCTGTCTCTGCGACTTTCCCCCTCACAAACAGGAGATTGTTCTGGAGGTCACAGACACCCCAAATGCTTCTACTGCAGGAGGGTTTCACTTTGCAACTCAATGTTTTCACCTTTCTTGTATTCCTGCCATTCTTACTCTCATTTTCTAGCCAAAACATGCCGAGATTCTGGTGTCATTCCTGAGGAAGACCCCCACAAGTCGCCCAATGTTTATTTTACTGCCTGGGCAAGTGGGCAGAGCTTAGTGGTTAAAATAAAATCAAGACAAATTTGAGCTCTCTGCTCCCTGCTGATGCCCTGGGAGAGTGACAACCCCACAAGGAGCTGAAGGATGAAGTGAAAGCCACTGGGAGATGGGGAGAGGAAAAACCTGAGCACTCCCAAAGGCTTTTTCTGTAAACCCCTCATCAAACAAAGCCAGCTCACAAAGGGCTAGCGAGGAGAAGAAATGCTGCGTTTTCTCCTCTGCTCTCAGCCTGCCTTCCTCCCACACACCCCACAGGAGGAAAAAACACCCCAAAATATCAAAACCACCCAGCCCCACTCCTTCGTCCTGCAGAGGCAGGCAGCAGAACTTCAGAGAGAAGCCAGAAGAAAGAGAGCAGCACAAAATGATTCCTCCTTTTGCCCCTGGGCAGGCAGCCCCTGCAGCCACAGTCAGTGGTTTTTATTGAGGCCGGGCTGTGCCACTTGGCCTGTTCCCACCCCAGAGCCACAAGAGTCCTTTCAGCTCAGCCCACAGAGCTCCTCTTCTGCCGGGGCACTCGGAGTGGCCAGATCTGAGAGAAGAGAAAGAAAACATTGATTTAGAGGAAGAGCTGGCTCTGGAAGCACCTGACAGCACTTGAGATGTGCTTCACTTCCCCCCAGCTCCCTCCCCAGTGGAAGGAGAGGGACAAAACCAGCAGCTGCCTTTGCAGGCCACGCTCAGAGCTGAATTCCTGCTCCTCTTTGTCCCTTCCCTTTCCCTTCTGGCTTCTTCCATCCCACCTGGGTGTCTGCTGAGCTGGGGAAGCTCTGAGGGTGGTGAAAAGTGCTTTGTATCCACATTTCCTGGGCTCTGGATCCATCACAGGCAGCTCAGTCCTTGCAGTTTGAACTCCTGCTGTCCCTGACAGGGATGTCCAGCTTCCATTTGCTATTTCTGCAAATTTGTCCCAATTTTTTAGCCTAAAAAAGCTCCAATTGCTCATCATGGAAAGGTTTTGGTAGGGAAAAAGCTCATTCCATTCCACACCTGCCATGGGCACGTCCCACTATCCCAGGCTGCTCCAAGCCCTGTCCAACCTGGCCTGGGACCAGGAACAGGTGCTGCTAAATTAAGGTAATTTTTACATTAATCTAAACAAAAGGATGTTCTGCTCTGCCCTCCAGCCTCCACAATCCTCTCCTAAATTCCAAGGGAGAAGTGAGGGAACAGAACTGAGAACTGCAGATCCCACAGGAGATTTGGGTTTTGGACACGGCCTGGGACAGGACAAGGATTTAAAGCATCACTCAAAGTCACTGACAACAGAAATTCTCTCTCATTAACCTGCAAGGAAGAGCAAAAAATCCCCTATTTTTCCACATCAGCTGCTGCAAAGACCTCCACAGTTCCCCAGATTCCTGAGATCTTTAGGAGAGGATTCTGAAGGTCCCTCCCAGCTCTCTGTGGGGTGCTGCCGCTCCCTCGGAACTGATTCCCATGAAAGCCTTCACGCACCTGCCTGGCTGTACTCCACGGATTTCAGGAACAGCCCCGAGGCCGGGGCCATGGCGTAAGAGGGGAAAGCCCGGGTATCCTTCGCCTCCAGCAGCTCCTGGATGTGGTGAGGGGCCAACTTCCCCTGGCCCACGGCCACCAGAGCCCCGACCATCCTCCGCACCTGGGGAAGCACAGCACCCACTCTGGGAGCTGCCCTCGGGCAGCAAATCCTGCTTTCAGTCAGCCAAGAATGCCCTGACCCTAGGTCTGAAGTACCCCAAGCACAGCCTGGACTGTCACCACAGTCCTGCTGTGCCTTTGTCATCAAACACCTCCTCCAGGGAGCATTTTACCCTTAGTCCCACCCCAGCAGCCACAGCCACCCCAAAATCTGCAAGAAAAGCTGGTTTTCCCCTTCCAGCAGGGACTGCAGGGCTGTGCTGACATTCTCAGCCTGCCTGCCACATGCAGGGGCATCTTCAGATGACCAAAGCTGGTGGGAAAGGTAAATAAACAGAAAAATGACACCATTTCCTTTAATTATTCCCTCCCTAAAACGAAAGACATTTAAGAAGTCTTTAAATCATCTCCAGCTGCACGAAGTGCCTTGGAGCAAGTGCTGTCCTCGCCTGTGGGGAGGAGCTGAGCTCGGGGTGGTTGTTTCAGAAACAGCAGCACTGAGGCAGCTCCTGGGCTCCCTGCAGGCCCCTCAAGCACCAGCAGTGCTGATCTCACCTGAGGCTGTGCTGGAGCTTGGCTTTGTTTGGCTTTTCTCTCAGAAAAGCCAAAAAGTGAAAAAAATTCCCCCAGGAAGGGCGGCCCAGCAGCAATGTGATATTTCAGCGCTTCACAGCCCTCCCTCTGCTGTGGCAGCTTCCCCTCCCACCCTCCCCGCACAGAGA